ATCTACTATGTTGAAACTCTCAACTTCACAAAGTATCCCTGTCACTGTCACTGTCACTTCCTTCCGTTGTTCATCGATTTTCTCGAGCAGGAACCAGTAATGTCTCCATTGTGAGACTTATTGTTACTATTTCTGGCATATCGAACACGCCATGAGGAGTTTGCCAGGCTTTGCCCTGCAGACGGAATACTCTCTGTAGCTTGCTGGGCTCTCTGAGAGGGGTGGAGGATTCGAACCCAGGTCACCAGCATGTGAGACAAACCCTGTACCCGCTATGCTAGGGCTCCTGCCCTTAACAAATTACAGTCATTCTATTGCATCTAGTACTTTGTTCATGAGGAGCATTTTCTTGTTGTTTTGATTTCTACATACTCTGTTTATTTGACATGATATCTATGAGGGTGCGCTGGAGCAATAGCACAGCGAGTAGGGTGTTTGCCTTGCACGTGGCCGACCCGGGTTCGATTCCTCTGTTCCTTTAGGAGAGCCCGGCAAGCTACCGAGAGTATTTTGCCCACACGGCAAAGTCTGGCAAGCTCCCCGTGACATATTCAATATGCCAAAAACAGTAACAACAAAATATTATAATGGAGACGTCACTGGTGCCTGCTCGAGAAAATTGATGAACAACGGGAAGACTGTGGACAGTGCATCTATGAGAGTAAGAACAGTGTCTATCCTTTTCTCCAAATCTTATCAAATGGTAACTTTGTGGAAGAACAACTAATATTTGTGGGTTGGAAAGATAGGTGACCAGAAGGAAAATTTTACATTTTGCTAAATGCTTTTACATGAAACGTCACATTTGATCTATTGGGCATTCTGGTCAAGAGGAGCCTATCCTGTTTATGTTTTACATATCAGGAAAATGAAGCTCAGAGGTACTGAATGACTTGCTCAAAATATTGCAAACTTGTCAGGTCCTAAGCCTGAACTCAGCTTCTCTGACTCCAAAACTCATTCTTCCTGATTAACTTTTTATCTATTTAATTTTTCATCTCTAAATGCTATCTACAAATTTTTTCTGTAAATTTGGAAAAAATGTGCCTCTTCATTGCCTTATTTTACACATGATTTTCAACTTACAGTAGGTAAAGTGTACTCAACCATTTCCCCAATATAAACTATAAGTTATTACCATCATATTTACTCTTAAGGGACTGAGCAATGGAACTTTGTGACATGATTATTATAAAAAATGATAATGCAACAAAAGACTGGACAGGTGAGAAAGAATTTACAAAAATGATTGACTTTGAATTAAAAATATTTCTTAATCTCTGACCATGAAGTTGGAACAAACTAGTCAAACCAACTAAAGGGTACCTTTTGGACATATAGCAAGATTTTTTTTTTAATTCCTGTTTAATTGTACACATCTAAATTGAATTTTCTTAATTCTGTGTTAAGTTATAAATATTAATTTAAGTTTCTTAAATTATATATACAATAAAAGGTACTCTCCTTTTAGATACATAGTGAGAATTTCTTAAATTGCTGAGGTATCATGAGCATGTATTCACAATATTTTGTCACACATTTTCAGCTCTTATCTAATGAAGTTAAGGAACTATAGTCTTCTTTTTTCTTTTTTTATTGAATCATAGTGAGATAAAATTACAGACTTACAAACTTTCATGCTTACATTTCAGTCATACACCCATCCCTCCACCAGTGCCCATTCTTCACCACCATTGTGGGATATTGTGTATCCCTCCGAATAGTCTTCTTTTAAACCTCACCTCTGTATAGAAATACTGAGCTTTTAAGAAAATACATTTCAAAAATAATCTAGCTGACTTTAAATTCTGTAAAAAATTATAAATCAAGGTTCTAAGAAAGTTAAAATAAGAACAAATAATTGCAAAGTAACTTTGATGGTGAAGAGAGGCATAGTTATTAGTAACATCATAATTTACAAACAGAATCACTAATAATCATCAAACATTTAGTATTGCTGTCGGTGGATGGGTGGGCAGCCACAGGATATGAAGCTAGCTCGGAGAGAGTGGGGAGTAAGCCCTAGCGAGAGTGTTCCTGCCCTTTAGTTTGAACTCTCCTGCCTCTACTCCTCGTGAGCTTGCCTTTAAAGTCAGTTCACAACTCAGAAAAGTCAGCCTGAAGTGGTGCACAGGCAAGGATGTGAAAGTCCTGAATTCTTCTCAAGAACCCGATACAGTTAACGAAAGGGATGATGCCAAGAATGACGTACATCCGATCAAGCAAAGGAGAAAAGTTACACAACCAAAGTAGAGGGGTCTGGGTAACTCTAGGATAAGGAGCATCTATTGCTTTTGCAAAATGGTTTTGATAGGTCTTTCCTAGTTTCTTGGGGATTTCTGTGCAGTAAGTGTCTGTTCCTAGAGTGTGGACAAGCAAAACGATACTGAACTTTATTATCAGTCTCCTTTTTTCTGCACAGATATTTCTCCTCACTTATAGAGGCCCAGCCTTCTATATCCAGACTAGCACCATTCATGTTCTAAGGCCTTACTTCATGGAATCATCTCCAAGTGAACTTGTACTACATATCTTTCATGTTGGTTTATTTGCTCTTATGTTTTGCACCTCTTCAACTGGAGATAGGGTAAATCCTTTTCAGATTGCATCTTAGTTTTGTTACTTCCTTATACTTATATCTAAGGGCAATCCTTTCAGTATGTTTTTTTTTAAAGTGCAACATTATGGTGTATGCATCAGTTAATTTAGTTATTTTATGAATTTCTTCTCTTTTCTGAGGAGGTATGGTACTTGAGGCCATATCCGTGATGCTCAAGGCTTATCTCTTGGTCTACAACAGTGGTGACAGGATTGAACTTTGAAAGGCAACTTGCAAGCCTCATCTGATGGGTTATCTCTCAAGATCCTCATGAAGTTTTTCAACAGATATATTTTTTGGACACAAGCTATTTTCTAGGTCCAGTTTCAGTTATGACTGCTATATAATGACAACAAACTTTTTTTTCTTTTTGGGTCACACCCGGCGATGCACAGGGGTTACTCCTGGCTCTGCACCCAGGACTCACTCCTGGCGGTGCTCAGAGGACCATATGGGATGCTGGGAATAGAACCTCGGTCGGCCGCATGCAAGGCAAATGCCCTACCCGCTGTGCTATCTCTCCAGGCCCCACAACAAACTTTTTAAACTTATAAAGTTTGCAATCTAGTGGAAGAAAAAAGCAATGAACAAAAAACTGATTCAGAAATATATGATAAATATTAGACAGTATTATCTAACTAATAATATTATTAGATAATGTTATCAATTAAGAATATAAATATATAATATTAGGTAATATTACTAGTATTAGGTATTATCCAAATAATACTAAATATTAGAAAATATTAGTTGTGTGTCTATGAAGAAAAATAATACAACATGAAATAATAAGGAAGTCTGGGGTAACAAAATCTCCTTAAGTAGAGCCAGTTACTAAGGAAAAGATTCCTAAGAGTTTAAATTTGGTTTTGTTTTTTCTAGGGATGGAGACACACCAGCAGTGCTCAGGATTAATCCTGGCTCTGTGCTCAGGGATCATTCCTGGTTGGACTCAGGGGACACTATGCAATACCAGGGATGAAAACCAAGTTGCTCCTGTGATAGCAAGAGCCCTACCTGCTACACTCTCTCTCAGCTTCTAAAATGTAAATTTGAACAAAGGTGTAATTTACTTGAGAGATGTAGGCATGCAATATTGCTCAAAGAGCATTTCTAAATAGAGGCGTTAAAAAAGTGCTAAGCTAGGATTGACAGGTCATTGAGTTACAAAATTATTCATGACTGAGCTTTGAGGTGTCTTTTATAGGTAAGTAGATCTAGATGATGGTGATGATAATGGGGCCCTCACCATAACAGTTGTGCCTACATAAGATACCAGAAAAGTACCTTTCTCCAAAAAGCAAGCCCTTAGTACCACCTGATTAAGTGGTACCCTGGTCTCAAACTTGCAGCTTCTGAAACCACAAGCATCAAATGTTAGTTACTTGAGTTTCTAGTCTAACATGTTTGTTATAGCAGCTGAGCTAAGACAGTAAGCACATGAAGAAGTGTGCTACACAGTGGGGTGAGAATTTGCCATCAGTTTCTGGAAATTGCATATTTCCGGCTTGTTGGAAATCACCCTGGAAGAAGGTTATTTCATGCATGTCATGCGTGTTTTCTATTTACTGTTTATTTTCTTTTATATCGTCTGGCACAGCTGGGTTACCAAAATAACCACAAAATTCAGAACAGTTAATCAAAACACCAGCGAGATGAAGGATTTGAGCAGCCAATGTCTGAGGAAGGTCTTCCTTGCATGGATAATATTGGAATGCCAGCAAGGGTCACAGGCTGTGTGGGGTGGTGAACTGAGAGGGTGCTCTGCCCTTAGGGCTAAGGGACACTACCCACACAGCTGCCACCCAGAACACTGACACGAAGTGTTTGTCAGTTGGTCGGAAGGCACCTAGGAGGACTGTGAGCAGAGCCTCCAAGGAAGGGACATCATTCCTGGAAGCCCTAGACTTTCAGGAGTTCCCACAGGAGCCTACTTCTCGGGATGGTCTCTGTTTTCATTCCTGTGGCTCAGTGAGCCAGAGATGTGTCTCTTGTCCCCCAGCACCCCTCAAGTGCCAACTATTCCTGGAGGGCTTTAGGACGTTGCCCAGGGAGTTGTGGTGCTTCTAGAGCAGCTCCGATGGCTTCTGCTGCAGAATTCAGGGGTGCGTCCCCCTTTTTGAGTCTTGACGTCAAGCTCAGACACCCATGAAGCCCAAGCAAGGGCGGTGGAGAGCTGAGAGGGAGGGTGGTGGGGAGGGGAAGCCATTGCAGCAACAGCTTGGAGGAGGAGGAGACTGGGCTTCTCTCGAGGAGGACAGCGGGTGCAGGAGCCAGAGTCGGGGCGGGAGCCGACCTGCGGCTCGGGAGGCGCCGAGTTGCTGCAAAGAGGGGTGGGGAGAGGCGGAGGCGCTGCATGCAGCGCGCTGGCTCCAGCGGTGCCCGCGGGGAATGTGACATCAGCGGCGCGGGGCGCTGGCGGCGGGAGCAGAGCGCTCGCCAGGGCTACGCCGTGCACACCTCGCCCGGGGGCGGACGCGGGCCCCGGCCGGCAGCAGGCATGTCGGCGAAGGAGAGGCCGAAGGGGAAAGTGATCAAGGACAGCGTCACCCTTCTGCCCTGCTTCTACTTCGTGGAGGTGAGTTGGCCCCGCGCCTTGGCAATGCAGATCCGCGGGGCTGCACTGGTGGAGTTGGAGGCGCGCCGCTGTCCCCAGATGCCCAACCTTCTCCCCTGCCCCCAGTGTCTCTGGAGCTCTCTGGGAGCACGACTGCCAGTGTCTGCAAGCCCAGGTGATACCCGCTGGCGGTGTCGCTGGTGTCACTGGCTGTGGGTGGCTGGCCGGGAAGAGTACCTGGCTGGGTGGGAGCGTGCGGGTTAGTCCCTGCCCTCCTGGGTGCCTGCGTGCGCTTAGGCCCAGGAGGGGCAGAAAGGTATTTTGGGAGCCTTGTCTTCAGTCTTGGAGAACCCATCTAAAATTCGGTGAGCTTTCAGATGCGAATTCAAATGCACAGCTGCGGTGTATGAGAGTTGGGGATGTTTACATAGTGTAAGGGCTATGGACTGTTTCCACATCACCAAACAGCAACAAAATCCTTCCATTATAATTACTGTGGTGCTCACCTCTGCTTCTAAAATTGGGTCTAAGCTGTGGGCATCAGGCCCTCTTCCATGGTTAACGAAAATTAAATATACAACAATATATTCATGCCCATATGTCTTGCATACATATGCTTATGTCCTTATTTATGATAGCAGTAGGTGCATAATTTATCTAAATAATGCAGTGGTATTTTACATCATTTGTATATTGCCTACGTTCTATGATGAACAGTATTACAGATAGACAATTACATGTGTATTGTTCATAATGAATCTCCAACTTACCAGAACACACAATTTAAGGGAGAAACAATTTATGGGAAGGTTATCAAGATTGACAGGTACAGTCATTCCATGCCCTGTGCTCTGTTTCACTGGAAGACATTTTTAAGCAAGAAGCTTATTAGATCATAAGTGTCTACCTGAGATGCATTGTACAGGTTTCCTAAAATCAGATGTTTAGGCATAAATTGATGCTGTTTATTTCATCAGAGTCTTGGTTGTAAAGCAGTATAAGACTGTTGCTTAATTATAGAAGTCCTTCCCTGGCCGTCTTCTCAGCCAAATATGGAGGTTTAGCACTTCCAAGTACATATTGTAGATTCTGCAGATTGCTATTCTGTACTGGATGATCATAAGCTTGCCTGTGTTGTTAGATAGATATTGCCTCAAAACTTAGGGAAAGGAACATTGTTAGATTGTTCTTATAGAAAATATTAGTAGAAAATATTAGCTGTGTAATTATGTTAGGTGCCACACATTTTAAAAATATTTTCAGTTTTCAGATATGTGATTTGCATAAGTCTCAGAGAAATAATGGTACTGCTTTATACACTACCCATAGATAAGAAGAAAGACAGATCTGTTTCTTTAAAGTAACTCATTCATTCACTTATTTTGCCTTTCCATTTTTCACAGTGGTTTTTGATGCCAGAATTTAGGTAATTTTGTTGAAAGATAGAGAGCAAAGGAACAAAAACATGGGATACTGGCCTTCAAGTTCAATTCTGTCTGTCTTGATTTGTCTAATAGCTAATCTGTAGTTTAGTTTTGTACTAGTTTTTCATTCTTATCTGGATGGTGGATCTGTCTAAAGGAAATCAGTTCATTTCTGGGTTCTACCTCCAGGCTGAAGAAGCCTGAGCTAGAGTTGATTACATATGGATTGCAGCTTTATGGCTTCAAGAAAAGCACTTTCTTGAAAGACAGTGCAAAACAGTGAATTAAGCAGGTGCCTTTAAAAATATATGCATGAGGGCCAGAGAGATAGTACAGTGGGCAAAGCACTTGCTTCGTATGTGTTCTAACCTGGGTTTGATCCCTGGTAGTCCTTGTGGTCCCCTGAGCTCCAATAGGTCTGATTCCTGAGTACAGAGCCAGGAGTAAACCCTGAGCACAACCTCATGTGGTTCATCTCCCCACAGCCTCTAAAAAACAGAAAGAACAAAAATTGTGTGTGAATTTTGAGGTATATTTAACAGGAATATATGTACCTTCACCTCATAATGCATTTGAAATGCATTCTCATAAACAAATATGTCATACATATTACTTCTCTCCAAGGAGTATTGAATAGTCCAAAGTCATGTTATATATTACTTGATCTATTTAGATATATTTAGATCTATTTAGACATAACCTACAAACTCCTTCACAGGGTGATGCGTAGAACAATTATTTGAAGACTATTTTTGGTTTTAGAATGGCATTTATGACATTAAGTCTTGGGGGTAACAGACTTAATAGGGAGAGCCGTACAAGTGGATGCAAATCATCTCCCTGAAACTTAAATATATGATAAACCATGAAGAGGCACCTAGAAAATGGGAGAAAACATTAGTGCACAATTACTTAAGGGGTTGACAGGGTGCACCACCGATTTATTTGGAATGACTCATTTTGAAGCTCGGGAAAACGAGTTTTGCATATTCTCTGAGGAATGAATAAATATAGCATGAATTAATGTCAGTATAATGCTTTGGAGTAATGATGCTCTGTTTTACAGCACAGTTTTCTAAGACAGTGGTAACTAAAATGGATTAATGATAGATTAGTGAATCTTTTGCCATCAGCTATTGGTCCAAGGCACACATTTCGAACCTTTTATATTACTTCAAACAATATTTTATTTAACCAAAAAAAGGTGAAAAGAACCATATTTTCAGAACAAAACAGGCTCTGGGTTTAAAGTCAGCAACAACATGAAAAACTTGAACTTTGCTTTTCTTTAAAAAAGTCAGACTCCTTTCAATTGTTATTCAAGGCCAGGGATATAGCTCAGCAGCTCAGTGGTAGAACCTTCATGCCTTGCATGCGTGAGACTCTGAGTTTGATACCCAGCACAGCAACATATAATACTAAAAATAATTGAATGTCATGTAATATCACATGAATTTCTACTCATGATATGGATGCAATAGGAAGCAACTTTAACTAGGAAACTGAAGGGGAAACAATTCTCAGTGAGATCAAAAGAGGCTAACACTATGTTAGACAGAATTATGACAGGGAAAAGGTAGCATGATTTATTAATGAAATTCCAGAACTCACAATAATATTAGCCTAATTCAAATACTACCACTACAATATACTACCTAAGTAACTTTGGCCAAGCCACTTCTCTCATTCTTTGAGATATAGCAGAAATTGTACACTATAAAAACAAATACACATATATATCCATATAGAACAGAAAATTAACTCATAACTTAAAATATTCTAATAAAGCATGAAAGACATAAAGCAATATTCCTTACCTCAAATTGGCATTTGTGATGTATTTTAGCTTCTTTCAACTAAATTTCAATTTCAATTAATGTCCTTGATCTGAGTAAATATTTTCAAAAATTTACTTCTAGAATGATCTCAAGGAATTAAATCCTAACAAGGAATAAAGTTCCTAAAAACTCTTGGGAGGAGTTTTTATTGTTCAGAAGTTACCTTTTCCCAATTTCTAGAAGTAACTTTGGTTGCAAGGTTCATTTTCATCTTCATAGTTCTAAATAGAAGAGCAAATAATTGAGTGCTTTGTGCAAGTTGTACAACAATGACGTATGACTTTCTTTCATGAAACACTCAATGAGAATAAATCAAAATTCTTTACATGTACCATCTTGTCCACTCTTCAAAGATTCTTGGTAAGAAAGAAGCCATTATTATCCATGTTTCAAAGAAAACTGAATTGAAACTCATGAAAGTTAAGCATCTTGCCCAAGTTTACAAAAGAAATTTAGTAGCCAATGTGAACTCAGAGTGTATGCTTTTTACACTGTTTCTTTCAGCTTGTTGCAAAGTTACTTCCAGTAATTTCTCACTGGTAAAAATTGGAAGATGTAGATTAAGATAAGAGCACATTGACTAAAATTATAGTTTTTCCTGATATCAGACTAAACACTCGGTGTTGGTGGACACTACACATTCTCCCCATGCCGATTTGTTAGTTAGCATCAAGCTTTCCAATAAGTCCTGTAACCAAGTGCAGAGAAAGAACAGGACAGTGGCAATCCATTTGTGTAGTGACAGTAGGTGTCTAATTATATTCCTGTGGGCACTGGTGATACTCAACTTCTAAAATCAAGTTATCTTGTCCTTGTTCTTCACCAAATTGGATGCTAAATGAACAGTTACTGAATGAAATTCATTCCTTTTACACCTTTGGTTTATGCTGTCAGTTGTTTGCAGATAAAGGGGCATATAGTTGACAGTTACTAAATATATCACTATTTTAAATTGACTTTTTAAAAAACATGATTTTCAACACATCTCATTTTATAAGTTTGAAAATTTAGTTTTGTATTGCTCAACTTGAGGAAAGACAGATTGCGTTGTGAAAGAAACTCCCCATCAAGCACATTTAAGACCTTATGAGGTTGAACAGAAAAGTAGATCATAACAATGTGTTTGGAAAAAAATGCTTCATTTGCCTTTACAATTCCACTTTCTAAGTGATAGATGTATCACATATGGTGGCAATTCAAGTAAGCAGCATGGCTAGATTTAGTAAAAGGTCTTTCTAACTTAATAATTCTGCATTCCATGTGATAAGGTTGATTGCATATTTTTGCCTAATGCATTTCCACTGTGCAGAACATTGAAATGACCCCACATGTGTTCAGTTGCACAAATGTTGCACTCATTACAAAAGACTTAGGTTTAAGTCAATTAAGTATGCAGTGAATGAAACGTTACCAAGTATGCTAAAAAGATAATTTTTTTTTCATATGAGTCTCTCTGAGTGGAGCTGGAGAACTTGCAGTGTCAGGGATCGAATTTGGAGAATCATCATGCAAAACAAGAGCTCTCAGCCTTCTTAGAGTTATCTTCCCATTCCTAGATATAAATGCTTAATAAATAAAAAAATATGTGTAGATACTCTGGTTTATTAAATATATTTTATTATAAATCTGATATTTAATTTATTGAAGTCAAAGAGTTTTTAGTAACCTAAATGTAAGAATATATAATTTTGGATTATTTGGGGGTCACATCCAGTGATGCTCAGGGATTACTTCTTGCTCTGCTCTCAGGAATTATTTT